GGATGCACTTTTAGAAGAGAAATATTCTCTGAAGTTTGCTGCTGTCTTCTCCACACCCTATTAATCCTGTTAATCTGTACCAATTAGGGTTCCCTCTGTCTCCTGTAGTCTTACAGGTAGCCAACTGAATTCTGACATCAGGACACCTGGCTCTGTTGCACGACTTGGGAAATACCTTTTCTTTAAAATGCTGGGAACTGAGTAACATTCCCTAGAAACAAGGAAACCAATTCATGCTTCTCCCAGCACTGTAGGTTGTCAGAACAACTTCACACTCCTCAGGGACTTTTTAGACTACAAAAAATTCTGGTATCAAGGCCACAAATTAGGACCACAAATCCCAGCAGTTTTTCTTACAAGGCCTTGTGCAGTGTGTGCCCTTTTTTGACACCACATGTTATTATAACAATTCTCTGATTCTCCAACACTAACTGGGTGTACTACAATTCAATTCTGACACTACCTGGAGCTAGCACAGAGCTAACGTGGGTCCATCCAACCTTCAACAGTGCTATTATCAACACCACCTTTGTTTCAACCCCATCCATGTCCACTATATTCGTCCCATTTCCCAATAACCATCTAAAGACTTCCACCGTGCTGAGACATATCCCTTGACTCTTCCCTGTCTCTCTCCATTATTTTAAATTACTTTGATGTTCTTGGTATCTGTAGGAACTAATACAGGTAAACTGAGACAACAAATCCAATAAGACTTCTCAGGCTCAAATTTGTAGCAGCAAGACTATCTGGGGCGTCCATACAAAAAGAGCCCCTTTCATCATAGTACTTACCATAAGAGTAATGAGCACATTAAGCAGGTGAATATCTTGGTCATCATAAAGATGGTTCCACATGGCTTAATATATATGATATATTCTTGCTGTTCCCTAAACCATCTCCACAGGACTTTTCAGATCTCTTTGCCTAAACCCCTTTCCTTCTGATAGCCACATGAAGTATACATCCCATTCAAGTCACTAGCAAAATGTCATTTCAACAGGAAGTCCTTTTATGACCACCTATTTAAAACTTAAGAATATTATAAGATATATATGTTTTTGTCCATGGTTCCTGGCTTGTAACTTCCTTAAATTTTTTTTATAATGTTGGGGTACTTTAGGCCTCAGAAGCGGGCCTCAGAAAAAAATCTGACTTTCTCCTGCCCTCCTTTCACCTATTCCTTTTTCTCCCTGAGGCAAGCCATAGAAACTAGAATCCCTCTTCCCCAAGGCAGGTCCTCCAAGCCAGCCATAAAGCTCTAGTCTGTCTCAGAGTTAGCCATAAAGAAATTCTGACTTACCTTATCTGATTGTAGGTCATTAAGACCTCCATTCCAGATCCTGCCCCATGCTTTGGAGAAAGGAATGTTGCACATAAGCCAAGAAGAATCTGAACAAACAAGCCTTGCTGAGTTTCCCACCTAGTCTGTTAGTGTTAGATCATATCCCCTTTGTCCAATCACATTTCTACATTGTTGTTCCTGCTTTAAGCATGTCAGTGCAATGAAGTCTCCATAAAAGACCCAAGAGGAGAGAGTTCTTAAGAGCTTCTGGACAGCTGAACTCATCTGCATGCTGTGAGGGCTGCACACCCCAACTCTGTGGAAACAAAGGCTCCTGCCCCTGGAAAACTTTTAGACCTTGTCCTATGAATCTCTTCACCTGGCTGCTGCTTTGTATCCTTTAAAATATCCATTGTAATAAACAGGTAAACTTAACTGTTTCCCTGAGTTCTGTGAGCCACTCTAGCAAACTAATTGAACCCAAAGAGGGGGTTGTGGAAACCATGGTTTATAGCTGATTGATGTTGAAGGTCCAGAGGCCTGGGCTTACGACTGCCATCTGAAGTGGGGAGCAGTCTTGGGGACTGAGCCTTCAACGTGTGGGATCTGATTCTACCTCCAGGTAGACAGTGTCTGAATTGAAGTGGACAGCACCCGGCTGGTATACACTAGACAATTGCTTGCTTGCTTGCTGGTGGGATCCCCACACACCTGGTCAATGATCGTTGCTGAGTAATGGTGTAAGAAAAACAATTTGGCAGTTTGTGTTGTTTTTCCCAATACTTACATACAAAGCATACTAGCTATTTCACCTGGGGTATTCGACTTGGCATTTATAAGAGTCAGACAGTCCTCCTTTTCAGAGTAAACACACTTGACAGTGGCTTTTATCCAGTCCATCAGGAGGCTGTTCCTTCAAGAATAACCTACTATGTGTCTGGATCATGTATAGCCATCTGCACTGTGATTCAAATCTCCCTGTGATTGTTCAGTAGTTAGATATGGACCCTGTATCAACCCAAACATGCTCTTCCACTCTGCAGTATTTAAAACCAAAGATACCACTCCTAATTTAGTCACTCTCACAATTCATTTTAGTAAAGGTTCTGCAAACTGATAATGCTGATCCACAAAATTAGACAACCCTTCAGTCTATACCCTGGTTTCAATAGTTTCTTGGTTTTTCCCTCCCTTCCCACGGACTACCTCTGTTGACTAGAGAGGTCTTAGAGGTGTTCTTTGTTGTCCCAGTATAATTTTTCCCCTTTGCATGTGGATTTGATTCTAATGGCTAAAGCTCAGACAAACAAAAACCTGAGCTTGGTCAAGCCTCAAGGTCTCACTGGTCACTCTTTACTTTCATTTTAGCTATTACGGATAACAACAACCAAGAGTGATGGAGTTGGATGTATTGTCCTCCCAGAACTCATGTGGAAATCTGATCCCCAATGTGGCAGTGTTGAAAGCTGTTTGAGTCATGGGGGCAGATCCCTCATGAATGGATTAATGCTCTCCCTGGGGGGTGGGGGTTCCTGCAAGACCTGGTTGTTTAAAAGACCCTGGCACTTCCCCCCTCTCTCTCTCTCTTGCTTCCTCTTGTCATGTGATCTGCTTGTACCCACCTGCTGCCTGCTGTTTTCCACCATGAGTAGAAGCAGCCTGAGGCCCACACCAGATGCAGCTGTCCCAGAATTGTGAGCGAAATAAACCTCTGTTCTATATAAATTACCCAGTCTCGGGTACTCTAGATTTAAATTTTAACGCAAAACGGATAAATACAAACAATTATATATTTAGGATGCTTCTTATTTTGAACTTTCTTACATATCCAATGAGCCAACTCTTTGGGATTTGAATCTAAGCCATTTCTGAGTTCCACTGGTAACATTTTCCTTTAGTAACTGATTGCAGCAAAGCTACAGTTTTGTACCACAAATGATTAGAGGGCCATCCAGGAGCGAAATGTTCTTCATCCCTCATCCTTTCATCCTTTCTCTTCTAAAACTATGATTCTATGAGTCAGGGCCCGTCTAGAAAATCCTATTTTCTGACATCAGACATCATCCCTATGCCATTTCTCTGACACAAACTGTGTCCTACAAGTTCAATTCAATTCTGACACTAACTACCTAGCACAGTACTCACAGGTTAAGGACTCAGTCCCACATGACTGCCCCACTTCAGACGCCAGCCACAAATGGGGTCCCCAGGCTACCCACACTTTTGTCAGATAGACCCACAAATTGCTCCCATGACTGCCTACCCACACCCTTAGGTTTGGTAATTTGCTAGAACAACTCATAGAACTCAGGAAAGTGCTACACTCACTACTAGTTTTTAATAAGAGGATACAAATGAACAACCAGATGAAGAGGTACATAGGGTAAGGTCAAGAAGAGCCCCAAGCTCAGCAGCCTTTTTCCCCATGGAGTAGGGGTGCACCCCAACCCAGCATGTGAATGAATTCACTAACCCAGAAGCTTCCAGAACCCTGTTGTTTAGGGGCTTTTAACCCAGGTTTCATTGCATAGGCATAGTTGACTAACTTACTGGTCATGGGCAATTGAAATCAAACTCTAGCATCTTCTCCTCCCCAAAGGTTAGTTCAGTCAAAAGTTCTAACTCTCTAATCCAGTGGCTGGTTTTCCTGGTAACTAGTACTCATCTTAAAGCTACTTACAGGCCTCCACCATAAGTCACCTCATTAGCATACAAAAGACACTCTTATTACTCATGAAATTCCAAAGGTTTTAGAAGCTTTATGCCAGAAACTGAAGATAAAAATCAAGTGTTATTTTCTATACCATAGGCAGTAATGAAATTAGGCCAAATCCATAGTGAGAGGTACTCACTGATATCATACTGTTCCCTGAGGCACACAAAGTTAAAACCCTCACAAAAGCTCTTCACCCCTTCACACTGGTGGAGCCCAATTCTATTTCAAACCACCACATAGTGAACAGAACTTTTAAGATTAAAGGTGACTTAAATAATAAGACTTTTATTATTGCACAAGCCAGAACAATATGAGGAACAGTTCCCAGGTCTGTGACTTTGAGGGTAGAAGTCCATCAAAAATTTTATGTGAGACCAACAATGCCATGAAGAAACTATAACTTTACAAGCCACCATCAGTACCGGCTGTACCTTTGGGCCTACACTAGTCAGAAAAAAGGGAAAGGGAAACCACTAAGGGTTCAGGCTATTATATCCTCCAGGGAATGGGAGAGAGCACGAACATCTGTCTTCTTTAAGTATATTGTGCTGGCCAATATATGCTGTAGGACTTGCCAGGTGGTAGAGGTAAAAAGGCTTCTCCCACAGAACCTGGTGATGACATAATTCTGGCAGGGTGAAATGCAGAATGCAGCTCCTGAAAACTTCTCACATACCTGGATCTCATGGGGAATCTCCCCACTGTGAATATTCACATGTATGAAGTTCAACTTCAGGCTCAAAAAGCTCTCTAGTGCTGTTACATTGAACAAAGAGCGCATGCCCTGTGGGTCTAACACCATTATCTCGTGTGGAATTTTAGTGCTAGATCTTTAGCTAAAGGCTTTCACACATGAACTGAACTTGTGAAACTACCTGAACTGTGAAATTTTTGGTGCTGAATCAAGAGTATACTGTTAACTGAATTGGCTGCACGCATGAGGCCTTTATCTGGAGTGAAGTTTATGGTGTTGAATAAGACTGTACTTTTGGCTAAAGCATTTCCCACATTCACTGCATTCATAAGGCCTTACTCCTGTGTGAATTCTCCGGTGTTGAATAAGGCTGGAACTTTGTCTAAAAGATTTCCCACATTCCCCACACTCATAAGGCCTCTCTCCAGTGTGAACCCTTCGATGATGAATGAGATTAGAGCTTTGGCTAAAGGATTTTCCACATTCGCCACATTCATAAGGCCTTGATCCAGTATGAATTCTCTGGTGTTGAACAAGGCTGGAGCTTTGTCTAAAGAATTTCCCACATTCAGCACACTCATAAGGTCTTGCTCCTGTGTGAATTCTCTGGTGCTGAACAAGTTTGGATTTGCACCTAAAAGCTTTCTCACATTCAGCACACTCATAAGGCCGTTCTCCAGTGTGAATACGCTGGTGCTGAACAAGTTTATATTTGAACCTGAATGCCTTACCACATTCGTTACACTCAAAAGGTCTTTCTCCAGTGCGGATTTTCTTGTGCTGAACCAATGTATGCTTGTAGCTGAAGGTTTTCCCACATTCACTGCAGTCATACAGTCCTTCTCCAGTGTGGATTCTCTGGTGCTGAGTAAGTGTATGTTTGCGGCAGAAGGCTTTCCCACATTCACATTTGTGACTTTTTCCACTGTGAAAGGCTTCACGCTGAGTAATGCCTTGTGGCTTCACCCCTTTGGGAGTGGCCTGATACTGAAGAAGGCCCACATTGGCTGGGAAGTTGTTCCCAACCTCCCCACAGGTGAAAGGCTTCCCTGATGCATGGATTCTGTAACTCTTCACAGAGGACACCCTGTCTGTGTCATTTCTGTAGAGTTTCTCTCCACTCTGCCCCTTCTGGTGTTGGTAAAGGTTTGTACTGAAACAGAATTGTTTCCCACATGTCCCACACATGTACAATTTCTGCCTACTATGTGTTCCTTGGTGTTTAGCCAGGTACAAAATATCTTGCATAATAGGTACACACATCTCACAGAGATGAGCTTGCTGTGTTGATGAATCTGGCACTGGAGTACAGATTTGTGACATTCTTTCCACAGAACCATGCTGCTCACAAGGTGCCTCATTACGCACACCACACCAACAACCTGAAAGCAGAGAAATGCTGGAGAAGTACATGTTGTCTTTGGGGGTAATGGGTGGCCTTATCACAAATACATGTCCGACACAACAAAAAATGAGCATACTGTTTTCAGGATGAAGTTGGACTCAGGCTAAGGAAGGGGCTGCTTTGCAGTCATGGGGCTCTACAGGTCATGGAAATCAGGAGGCTTCACAAGATGAAGGACATAAGAATGGGGTGCAGCGTGTTGAGGAGAGGCAGACAGGATTTCCAACTTGCTCCTCTGTGAATGACCTTCAGCAAGGCCTTAGTTATTGATGACATATGAAGACTGAAAAAGTTTGTTCAGCAACAGAAAAATCCAATTGTAAATGAATAGCTTGGGTTCAAGGACTATCTAAGGATATGTGTGCACCATTCAACACATTATGTGTGGGCCAATGATGGAGAACACTGCAGAGGTGGCAGTGAAAAGGAATGGGTGGCAGATGGAGGCAGAAAGTTGGCAGGAAAGCCAGGGGCCAGAATTCAGAGTAAAAATGACAAGCTGGCCAAGTATCAAGAATGAGGAAGAAAAGGAAGAAATGAGGTGTGGCCAATGGCAGTGGCATCGACTCACTGGTTTGAACAGGCTTCTGGTACAATGTGAACACAGCCCTAATGTCATGCCCTCCCCCATCTGTCTTCAGCAGGGACAGGCCCTCTCTGAGCCCATCCTGCCATGGGTGGAGTCATGTCCATCCTGTGATGCCCCTAAAACTCCCCCATCCCCAGCTGAGCAGTTACATGGGTCTTAGATAGTGCAAATCTTAAGGGAAAGAAAGGACAGGTAAGTGGCCAGCACTCGCCCAGAGCAACTTATTACATGACAGACCACAGAAAACTAAACGTTGCAAAAAGAACCTCAAATGAGGGTCTCACAAAAACAGTTCTTGTTGCCAACAAGTAGTACCCATGTCGGTGACTACAATTCTAGCACAGGTAGGCATGAAGAACTATCAGCTAGAATAAGGGACCAAAACCTAGGATACAGAGATGGCATGGATCTGGACACAGTCCCCCCTCCAGGAAGAGGGCAAGCAAGGTGGGATTCATTAGTCTCCTTGGAAGAGTACTGACCTTGAGTCCTTCCCCACGAGGCTTTGGGGCAACAGGTATTGAGGCCACAAGGAAGAGAAGAGAACAGTACAAACAACCCAGCCCTAGTAACAACAGCACCTACCCAGGGAAGTGAGGAAGAAAACAGTGCCCACAGCCCAGGTGGGAGGACAGAGCAAACCCTGGGGAAGAGCAGAAAGGCAAAGTCTAGCCCAGGGCACTGGGGTAGTTGTAAGGGCCTTACCCAGTGAGGATATAAGAGCAAAGTTCTCCAGCATCACACTGTGGTACAGATGTCTCTGAGCCTCATCAAGGAGCCCCCATTCCTCCCAGGAGAAGTACACGGCCACGTCCTCAAAGGTTACATTGCCCTGTCATGATGTGGACAGATAAAACCACAGTCTCTCTCCCAAGGACCCACAAGCCATCTCCCCACACATCTACGCCATGACCAGACTCCTCCCAACCTCAGAGGAGATATCAGACCCTAATGCAACTGGTGCTCTCTACCGGTTCCATTAATCACTGTGCCCAGCCCTCAGCAACTACAGGCAGGTGCGCAGATAGATGCCATCTAAGCTCAGGAACTACATTATGGGGCCCCACTCCTTCCTGCCAGGCAATTTCCCTTGGGATTTCTTCCAAAGAAGATCCTGTACTATCCAAGACCTGCAATGGATCACAACACCAGGGTCAACCTCAAATGCTGCTTTGAAGGCCTTCCTGTGTGTCTCTGATCCTTGCTTCAACATTAGCCACCCAGAACCACATGTGAATTGCAGATACCCATGGCACTCTTCCCCTTCTGTGCTGCACCTGCTGTCCCCTCAGCAGCCACATCCTTCCTCTCCCACAATATCCTCATTTAAAGCCCAGCCCCTTTAGCCCCTATGCCTAGAATAGTGACTCGCAGATGACCACATTTATCTCTAACTTTACCCACTGGCAACTGTGAAACATCTCAGACCCCACCAAAGCTCACCAAAATATTCTAGTAAATCTGTGGAACAGTGACTAAGCAGAGGCCCTGGCCTCAGTGTCACCTTGTCTCAATTACTTCTCTGCTTTTGCATCTGTCTCACCTCTACTCTTCCCTTGGAAGTCTTAGCCACCTGCCAGACCACCCTCCCCACAAACAGTCCCTTCATGACTACTTTTCTCCCACATTTGTTTGTGGAACAGATGAAACCTGCCCCCACCAGGTGCACAAGCAAGAGACCTTGGATCTCATCCTTTTCTTTATGGCCTGCCAAGAGTACTACCACCTTGACCTCAATTCTCCTCTTAAATGTGATCCACAGCTCCATTCTGGTCCACACACTAGCCACCATTTTTGAATGTCTCCATCCTGAACCTTTCCCCAGATTTCCATACCTCTGTGTCCAGCTGCCCACTTGATGCCACTACTCATTTTTTCTCTGAAATATCTCTGACTATTAACACAACCAAAAACAAAACTCCTAATATTTCCAATGAAAATCACTTCTACCACTGACTATCCTGTCTCAGTTGATGTAGCTTCCATCCCTCAAGCTACTAGGACTAAAACTTTAGCATCATTCTTAACTCCTACCTTTCTCTTTCCTTCAAAATCAGAAAACCTGGGCAACCTTTCCTAAAAACTGGATCTGTACCCTAACCACTTCTCCCACCTAGGCAACCACCACACTGATTTGCACCATCAGTGCTCACCTAGACTATTGCAATAGCTTTCTCCCTGTTCAGCCTTCCTCCTCCTTCACCCTCAAAGTCTGTTCTTTACTCTGCAGCCAGGTGGAGGCTATTTAGACCTGAGTAAGATTACCTCCCTCCTCTGATCCAAACCTCCCACTTCTCCACAAAATATGTCCAACTTCTCAGGCAGCCACATTCCAGGATGAAGGTCTCCACCTCCCTCCCCTCCCCCCAACTCTTTGTTCCTAATAGAAAGAATAGAGACCTGCTGTACCCTGCTCCCAACTCAACCACACCCCCATGCATTTACACATGCTGGTACCTGTTCCTGGGATAACTTTCCATAATCTTTCCACTGGTGGCCAGAAAAGGGAACCCTCCATACAACCCTCAGCCTGGATTCAGGATGAGTCTAGGGGATTCCTCCCTGAACTTGGGCTTGGGATTTCTTCCAGGTTCCCAAACCCAAGGGTTGGGAGAATGGTGGCAAAGAATTCCAGGTCACCACAATCCCAGAGATCATATGAGTGGGGTCAGAACCAGTAAAGGCCTGAAACACACTGCACTTCCCTGCATATGTTCCACAAGTGTTTCTTCAGCAATGGGGACCTGTGGGCAGAAGCATGCCATAGAAGCTGGGGATCACAGTGGGTTTCAATAAGCTCAAACCTCTTCTGTACCTCTGCCCAGCCCTGGAGGGAAGGTAACCTTGGACTGAATAACTAAACCGTGATTCATTCCTCAATGCTGCCTCTTCCTTCCCAGCTCTGTGCTTTGGATAAGGACTCAACCTCCCTGTGCATCACTGTCCTCATCACCCATTCCAATCTGTCCTCCCTCTGAACAGCTCTTAGAAAACTTTTAAAACCCTCACTCAGACCGTGTCCCTCTTCTGTTCACAACCCTCCATGGCTTCCACGGCCCTCAGAATGAAGTCGCGCCTGCCAGTCCAGGCATGACTCCGCCTCACACACTCTGTTCCAGGTGGACACAAGATGGACCCCAGGTTTCTCTAATCGTCCCGGTTCAGTCGCACCTCCAAGCCTTTGCACGAGCCAGTCCCTCTGCCAGTCACACTCTCCCACACCCCATCACACTGGATGTCAGAAACAGGGACCCCCACCCACGAACGCCTAACTCCTGGCCACAGGGGCCTGGGCTGTGTGGACATGAGCAGGCGCCCCTCACTGGAGTTTAGGATTTGGGTGGCATAAAGGCGGGTGAGGCCCGGAGGACGCAGCACTTACCTGAGCCGGGTCCCTCAGCGCGGCCGCCGCCATGTGACTCTGTGGGCGGAACGGGGCTGGGAGCGGCGGGCGACAGGTGTGGGACCCGGGCACGGCGGTCCCTTTTCCCAGCCCTGGTGCGGGTCACCCCTGACGGTGTCGCCGAGACTGAGAACAGCCTCTGTGCAGCAGGGACGACGACCCCTCTCACGACTCCTTGGTCCCGTCACCCCCGTCCACACTCAGCACTCCAGAACCGTTAACAGACCCAGGAGCGGCCAAAACGACCGCCACAAGCTGGACGCCGGAAGGCCCGCCCTGATGCGATGCGCATGCCTGAAATGCCCTTATTCTTAGCCTTTCACCCCCGTCCACACTCAGCACTCCAGAACCGTTAACAGACCCAGGAGCGGCCAAAACGACCACCACAAGCTGGACGCCGGAAGGCCCGCCCTGATGCGATGCGCATGCCTGAAATGCCCTTATTCTTAGCCTTCATTGGCTCCACACTGCTGCCTCTCGGCGCAGACTCAGGGGTCCAGAGGCACTGAGAGGGGGCGAAAAATGGTGTCTCCAACTTATAAAGCTGGGGGAAGGGCTTCGCTACTTCTTAAAGCGGCTGCACTCAGATTTATTATAGAAACATTATTTCAGTCTCCAAAGAGCACAACATGTTCCCAGAGACCAAAAACATTATTTCAGCTGCTTCCAAAGGCTACAGATTCAAAGGGACATATCATTCCTTAAAGTCACTGAGATATAAAATATGTCATTCTTAGCTGGAAACTAATAAACATCATCTTATTATTCTGCACGTAATATAAGCGGTTATTAGCAGGTAATAATAATTGCCTGAAGCGGTACGGTCAGTTTTGTGAGTTTCAGCGTGTTCCATCAGGAACAAGAGAAAGACTCTAGATAGGTCCATGATAGGAAGATTGAAGACGGATGTTGGGCTGCCCTGTAGCAAGTGGGGAAAAGTGGAGCTCTGCCTCTAGTTCCCACAGAACGTCAGTGATTGTGTCCTAACCAGTGAGAAGAACTGTTTTTTCTATATAATATTTCTTTATATCCTAAGATATATTTGATTCCTTTCAGGGATCTGACATCTATCTCAAATAGCAACTTAACAAATGCTGGGTTGGTATGGGACAGTGACTGCAGTGTTCGCAGTTGGAGCACATATGCATAGGTGCATCTGAGCCCCAAGATTAAGGGGATGTCTGGACCCCAAGATAAGGGAGGCATCCAAACTCCATGATCTCATCGCCTTGCTGGGAAATAATGATCATTTCTCCTATTATTGAAGAGACAGTTCTGCATGAGGAATTCACTATCTGAGAAAACGAGTTGTGAAATCAAAATAACAAAGTCATTAATAATGTTCATGTACTTATTTAAAGATGGTGGCAGAACTAGCTCTGGGGAAACATCAGTGAAGTGTGAAAAAATTTAAGAATTCAGAGAAATTTGAGAAGATGCTTAAGTCTGAGACATGCTAGAATCCAGTTCAGCATGTGACTTTGCTGGAACCTTGGTCACTCTAGAGTTATTGTCTCCAAAATGTAATTATTTTTCATTTATGAATACATTGAGTAATGCCAGCTTGGAGGCGGAGTTAAAGAGGATGTTTAGAGTAGTCAGAAGAGTACACATGAACAGGGAATCTGAGGTGTCATATTTATTCATTGAGCACATAAATAACCCATTTGGAATTGTTTATATTTCTTACAACAAGTGTTATTGCAAATACTTGATAGCAATGAAAAAATAAAAGCCAAAAACCAATTTAACCAAATGAGAGTATAAATTTATATAAGATGCAAGAATCAAAAAACTTAAAAATTAAAAAGATAGATTGAGTCCACAAAAGTTCTAGGAATTGTTATGAATCCTGGATCAGCATACCCTTTAAGAACTATAGTCATTCATGTACAAACAAAGTCCCATCTCATTTATTTGGTCAGTGTGGTTATTGGAGAGGCACAATGAGGTACCAAGTTAGGTACATCTGACTTTTAGGGACAATAACAGGAAATTCCCCACCTCATAACTCTTCTAGCTAGAAAGCAGTTAGAACTAAGTTATCACCGACCAAAGCCTGAATGGGGTGATAGCTTTAGAAATCACAATGGATCCAGAGAAGGGGCTGAAGTTCAGGTCTATCAAAGCACTTCTAAGTCTGCTTATGTGTCAGGGTCACATTTAGACTTTCACGCATCTACAATTCCGACTTTTTTACTGCTCTTTCATTCATGCAGCACTTTCAAAACTTTTTATTTAACAGGACTTCTATTTTACTAATGCTAGATGAAGTTTTTGCATTGGCTGCAAAAATTTTACTGACACAATAGGGAACCCTGTATCAACAAACGAAAGAGAAAGAAAATGAAGGTTTTCAGTCTCACTGACCTTTTTGTAGAGGTCACTGACCTTTTTGTACAGATACCCACAGTACAACACGGTTCCTAAGGTAAAACAATCAAACAACGCACACACACACACACACACCAGGTGTACACTCAGTTAAGAGCTGAGCATGTTTTTACACATTTTACAAGCAGGAGGGTAAAGATTTTGAGTTTAGTGTATTTACTCAGGAAGAAGACTTCATATAGGGCTATAGCAGAGAAGACAGAAGTTAAATGTCAGGTATTTCTTGGACAGGAAGGACTGCACTTTTCAGGAACCCTCAGAAAATATGATTCCTACCTATATTTATCAGGGTTCATATTGCAATCCTAGGAGAAGAAAAAAAAAATTCTACACTAAATTGTTTAAACTTCCTAAGAAATATCCTATTTACCTTAAAACCTGTGTTTTGTCTAAAAAGAAGGTTCATTTGCCAAATTACATTTCCTAAAGAGACTGCAGCTGTCATGGTCACAGAATACACATAGAAAGGGGGCATCTTGGGCCGGCCCGTGGCTCACTCGGGAGAGTGCGGTGCTGATAACACCAAGGCCCCGGGTTCGGATCCCATATAGGGATGGCCGGTTCGCTCACTGGCTGAGCGTGGTGCTGACAACACCAAGTCAAGGGTTAAGATCCCCTTACCAGTCATCTTTAAAAAAAAAAAAAAAAAAAAGAAAGAAAGGGGGCATCTTATCTATGAGATAAATGTTTAGGCCACCATGAGGTCAACTCCTTGCTGGAAAGTGATTATCATTTCACCTGTAACTGTAGTGACCCTATCTATATAGGGACTTGAGATTGTGTCTGAAAAAAAAATTGCAAAATGTTAACATTATTGAAAGCTGACAGCTATTATTAGTGAGTAATTAATTTATCTAGTGATAGATAAGGCAAGAACAACTAAGGGAAGGCATATTTATAATATGTGAAAAATACCAGGTAAAAATGACAGATGAGATGAAGGCATTGAGGTCTAGGAAGCAAGAGAAGAAAGCTAAGCACAAAGCAGGAATGTGTTTCTGGCCAACTTGAGGGTTTTGTCTCCCAAATAGGATCAGATTTTATTTCTGAGAACCATGCAGAATAACAGTCTTGAAGGAAGAGGAAAAGAAGGGAAAAAATTAAAGAGGGTACAAAAAGGTGGAAAGACATTCCATTTTCTTGGATTGGAAGAATTAACATTGTGAGAATGTCCATACTACCCAAAGCGATCTACAGATTCAGTGCAATCCCCATCAAAATGCCAATGACATTCTTCACAGAAATAGAAAAAAAAAAATCCTAAAATTCATATGGAACAGCAAAAGACCCCAAATAGCCAAAGTAATACTGAACAAAAAGACTCCCTGACTTCAAAATATACTACAGAACTACAGTAATCAAAACAGCATGGTACTGGCACAAAAAGTAGACACATAGACCAATAGAACAGAAAAGAGAATTCAGAAAGAAATCTACATACCCACAGCCAACTTATTTTCAACAAAAGAGCCAAGAACGTACATTATAGAAAAGACAGTCTCTTCAACAAATGGTGCTGGGAAAACTGGACATCCATAAACAGAAGAATAAAACCAGATCCCTATGTCTCACCATATACTAAAATCAACTCAAAAATGGCTTAAGACTTAAATTTAAGACCTGAAACTATAAAACTACTAAAAGAAAACACAGGGGAATGTACTGGCCAGCTGCCAAAAAGAATAAAAACAGGACTGGGCAAAGATTTTATGAATAAGACCTCAAAATCACAGGCAACAAAAGCAAAGATAGACAAAAGTGATAAAATCAAACTAAATAGCTTCTGCATAGCAAAGGAAACACTCAACAGAAAAAAGAGACAGCCTGCAGAATGGGAGAAAATATTTACAAACTATTCATCTGACAAGGGATTAATATTCAGAATATAAAAGGAACTCAACTCAACAATAAAAAAAATAAAAAATAAAAAACTATAGTAACCCAATTTAAAAATGCACAAATAAGGTGAATAGACACTTCTGAAAAGAATACATACAAATGGCCAACAGGCATATAAAAAATGTTCAATATCACTAAATCATCAAAGAAATGAAAATCAAAACCACAATTAACTACCATCCTATCCCAGTTAGAACAGCTGTTATCAAAAAGAAAATAACAAATGTTGGCAAGGAAGCAGAGAAAGGGGAACTCTTATACATTGTTAGTGGAAATGTAAATTAGTACAATCGTTTTGAAAACAGTGTGGGGGTTACAAAGAGAACTACCACATGATCCAGTAATCCCACTACTGGGTATACATCCAAAGGAAAGGAAATCAACAACGCCATAAGGAAACCTACACTCCTATGTTTATCGTGGCTCAATTCACAATACCCAAGCTATAGAAACAAACTCTATGTCCATCAATGGGTGATTGGATAGAGAAAATGTGGTATATATACACAATGGAATACCACTCAGTCATTAAAAAATAATGAAATTCTGCCATTTTCAGCAACATGGATAAACTCGGAGAAAGTTAACTGAAAGAAGCCAGACACAGAAAGAGAAATACCTCGTGTTCTCACTCACATGTGGAAGCTAAAAAAGTTGATCTCAGAAGTAGAGAGTAAAATAATGGTTACTAGAGATTGGTAAGAGGAAGGAGAAAGGGGTGTAGGGAGAGGGGGGACAATATATACAAAATGTAGTGAGATAGGAAGAATAAGGTCCAGTGCTCTATAGGACTGTCGGGACATTACGGTCAACAGCAAATTACTATATAACTTAAAGTAGCTAGGTGAGAGAATTTTGAATGTTTCCAACAAAGGTGACAAATGTGATTACCCTAATATG